CTGGGGGCGAGGGGGGCGGGGGGGCGGCGCCGTGCGCCCGCCAATGGCCGCGCGGGGGGGGCGGTGCCGCTGCAACGGCCGCGCTGGTTGCGGACACCCGCGGCTGCTCCCGAAGGCGCCGGACGGAGCCGGGCCAGCTCTGCCAGACCTGCCGCACTCCACAGCCGGCGGTGAGTGTGCGGGTGCCGCTCCCGGGCCGGGCCGGGCGAGCGCCGCTCCGACGGGAGTGCGTGTCGTGTGCCGTGCCCGCTCCCTCCTTCCCATCGCGCCGCTAATCGATCGCCGGTCGGCTGCCGAAGGCGTGAGGGGAGGGGGCGGTGGCGAGGGTCTGGCGGCTCTGGTGCCCCCTCCCAGCGCCTGCTCCCAGCGGAGGGGCTCCCGAGCCCAGCCCTGCGCGGCCGCCGCCGCCGCCGTCGTTATGTAACGCCCGCGGGGGGCTGCGCGCCGCGGCCCCGCGTCCCTCCTTGGGGTTCACCTCCGTGCTGTGTCCCCGGTGTTCTGCGCTGCCCTCCGGGAACCGGGCACAAGGGGCCGGCGGGGAGCGGGGATCGGCGCGGAGCCGCGCGCCTTTGCTTGCCATGGGGATGGGCTCCGCAGCCGCATCCCCCGATCTCCATCGAGGAGGGACGCGCGGCCGCAGCCAGCGTGGGACCCGGGCGGCTTCCCGGCTCCCGGCGGCAGCAGGTCCGTGGCTGGGAGATGCTGGAGGCTGGCTGCGGGCGGCTGGCGAGCCCCGCGCTGCCCCCGCGGGCGGCTCCCGGAGCCGGGAAGGAGCCACCTTGCGCACACACGCCGAATGCTCCGCAGTCAACAACAAAGCCTCAGCGCCCCTGCTGCTTCATGCGCTCGTGTAGAGGCAGCGGTCCCCTTTTATGGAGACCGATGTGGAGAGGCTATTTGCAGTTTCTTTTTTTTTTTTTTTTTTTTTCCTTATTTCTTTTTCCTTGAAATCTCCGAGCGGTAGCTGGAGGAGCTTCGTCTTCGAGAGCCGCTGCTCTGTAGCATCCTACACAAAACCAGCATCAGTTGTGGGAGCCCATTTAGCGCCTGCGGGGTGATACCCGTAGGTATGGTGTACTGCCATGCACTCCGGCATGGAAAACGAGGACGAGACAAAATCCTGTGAATTAATCTGTAACCCTGGCTAGCTCGTTTGAAAATAAATACAACCCCTCCTCCACCAGGTCACCAATGTTTGTAAATATTCCTTCAGTCCTGGGTAAAAGCTCTTGTACATTGGTGAAGTTATTCCAAGGGGAAGTTGGGTGTATGCCACAAGGTGCTGAATGCACATGTAAATAGCATCTTAAACGCTGACGGCTTCGAATCATATAGGAGATGCTGCTGACAACCAGTTTTCCTGTTCATGTTTTGCAGGCTCTACATGGGCAGGTTTGGGAGGGGACAATTTTTTTTTGGATTTTACGGAGGGTTGCATAACTCCTCATGTTTATTTGAAAAGAAGAGGAGGAGCAAACCCAAGCCCCAGCCTGAAATGAAACACATGATGTGAGACTGTTACTGAGCCATCCCACTGTTTTCTCAGCTAGCATCATTAAATAGCATGCTTTAGATGGGTTGGAAGGGGTTAGCATGATAATAAAGCATTAAGGTTTGGGGCTTTTTTTCCTCTAGTGCTGTGAAAACCTTGGGGAAAACCAAAGAGATACCTATACACTTTCATAATCATAGGCTTAAAATAGCATCACTGTTTATCAAACCTATACAACTTACTTTTAAAATGGCAATAGCCATTTTTTTAATCCTTTAGTGATGAGTCACTTCTTTATGTTTTTAGAGACCCTATCCCAACTCAACCTTTCATCTCCCAAATCCAAAATAAAATGCTGTTTTGAATGCCTTTGTACATTTCTGGGTCACAGTTATATGCTTTTAAATAGTCCATCATTTGTAACTGCTGAAGTGTATGTCCAGTATTAAATTATAGTACAGTGTAATGCTTAGACAGCATGCCATGCAAGGATCAAATTGCAGATAAAGTTCACATAGGAATCTCCTGCAGTGCTTGCACTTGACCCTTGTAAATCTAAGAAAAGATATTTATAAATGGAAATATACATCCAGCAAGTAGTTGTTTCTGTGTCATATTTAATCTGTGTCTTTACTGTGGTGAAAAATAATGTATTTTCATTTAATTTTTGTAGTAGATATATTCATTCCGGTAGCTTTCTGGAGGCAGCTGTGTGATAGAAGCTATTTTTGCCTCTTGTATCTTTGAAAAAATAAAATAAAGCTCTTTCAAGGAGTGAGGCAGTCAGTTATGTCATTTTATGTTAAGTGTATTCGCATTATAGGTAGAAGCAATTTATTGTACTCAGTATATCTCATAGTGCTTCAGATAATAAGCCATACAATGTTTAACCTTGATAACTTGCTCTCAGGTGATAAGCTAAAATACAAATTGAAATAATACCTGATATTTTTATTGCTTTACATACTTCAGTTATGTAAGTCTCCAGTGTGAGGATGTCACCATACTCACATGCATCTATCTCTCTATGTTTATATATTATTGTATATATTTCATGTACTAAGGCAAGAGCAGTCATTCTGCGGCATAGTCAGTCACTCAGTGATGTCATGTCCTTTTTATTTGTACATGCATACTGCTTATAGGCTTGCATAAATGGAATAGATTCTCTTCAGCAAACAACAAAGTTTGTTTTTGTCTACCCCTGAAATCCATTTTTATGCTGTGCCAAACTGAAATTAAATGCAGGTATATGATTTCCACACCTACTGTTTCCCTGCTGTACTGGCATGACTGCTGTGGACATGAGTGCTTCTAGAAGTCTCTGCTGGTTAGTTGAAAGGAAATATTTTGCTTACTGTTTGTATTGCCATAGTGTCTGGAGGCTGTGGTCAGGGACCTTTACTAATGTGCTATGTCCAGTATAATGGAACAAAAGTTTGGCATGACCCCCTAAATATTATGATCCTAAATAAAGAGCAAGGAACTGTGAGTGGTGCAAAAGATAATTCAAGCTGATGTTAGAAGGGTACATTGGTATGTGTGTGTTTTATCCAGCTGTGTACTTTCTCATTCTCGTGTAATAGCAAAGGGGATTGTAGAACTTAATATAAGACTCCCACTGTTCTTTGAGGGTTTTCCTTGGGACATGTGAATGGCTTGGGTTTGGGGGATTTTGAAATGTATCTAACTTGACTAAATGCTGAAAATTAAGGTTAAAAAAATCTACATCAACCCAATATGAAAAATTTGTACTTCAGACTACCTAATTTTTACAGTTTTCTAAATTTAAGGTAATAGTTTAAAATTTTGAAATGGAGTTTTCATTTCAAATTCCAGTTATACAGGAACATTTTTTTCCCCTGTATTTCATGTTGTTTTTCTTTATCCTCAGTGTTTTCTATAAGCTGTTCCAGCTCTTTCTTCATCTCATCCCCTTCATGTGCCTAACCCCCTTAGAAATACATAATAACTACACCTTTAGCTAAAAGACTTATGTGAAGGAACACATCACTCTGCCCATCCGAAACTGCCCATACATCGAAGTACTGCAAGAATTTCCCATTTCATCGTAGACAGGTTATTTGGATACTTTGGAATAGTGATGAAAGGAACTGTTCATTGAAAGGACATTACTGGTAAAATACCCCTATATAAATACGGTCTTCAAGTACCAAGGGACTGTACATGTGTTACAGGACAAGTATGCGTATCCTGCTCAGGTTTCAGAACACTCTTCCTGAGTGGGTGTTTATCTCAAGTGGTGACAGAGCAGAACAGACTGATTATGTGCTACTCAGTTTTCTTGGCTCACAGTGGTATGTCCATCAAAATAGATGGGAAGTTTTTATTTATTGTTAGTTGTTAAATGTGGTGGGTGAGCAATTCACTTTGCTGCTGCTAAGAAGGATTCTTAACTCTGTCAGGACTCTGAGGCAGCTGTGGAGAAGCTTAGGCTCTTAATTCTTGCTAGTTGTCTTAAGGTTCCCTCTTTCTTTTCCTCCTCACCCTTCTCCTGCCTTGTAGTGTTCTGAGTTTGTGGTATGAGTTTACCTTGTCCTGGATAGAAACCCAAGAGGTGGCAGCTAAGAGTTTACAGATCAAAGGTTCAATGCATTATGTGGCTGATGAAAAGATAAAAACAAATCTGCAGTGTAACTGTTTTAAATAATGTTTTAAATAATCACTTGAAGTTAATTTTTGCTCAGTTTGGCTAATCTTAGGAGCATGCTTCTTTGTCAGTGTTCATATATTGGGAGCATTTGATCAAATGAACACAGAGAAACTTGAAGTTAAAAAAAAATCAATGAGGTAACAGTTTTGCTTGAATCTATGAGGGTTGCAGTCCTAGTTCAAGTTCTTAAATGGTGTTTTGTTGGATCAGTGCTAAGAAAATTCTTGCAGTTGTAGTGAAAATCTTAGAGATTTTGCTCACAAAATTATTTTTTCATTGTTGATGACCCTGTTTATTTTTAATTTAAAACCAAACCTATTTAAGCCTGTCTCTTCTGATTTGACTATTGGAAGGAGTAGTACCCAAATATTGCATCTTAGAAGTACATATAGATGTGAAAGAACTTACTGATTTAGCAAAGGAAGTATTTCTCTTCTTATTTAGGACCAGGCTGTGGGTGGTTGCAAAAAATCTGTACTTAAAGGTTAGTTTATTTTCATGGATTGAGACAAAAGTGAAGTAGCAGATTTTAAGAACATGAGGGAACTTTATACAGTCTAACCTGATTCATGTATTAGTTATATTGAGAGCAATAATCTACATTTGGTAAAAGTCTGTCTTTCAGAGACACTTGACTAAATATATCTTCTGTATTAGAGGCAGTCTAATATGTGGACATGAGGATGTGCGGTATTTGCAGCTATTCTTGGGTTACCTTTAGTACCTGGCATGGTTGATTGTCTCTTCATAAGGAAGTCATATTTCTAGTGTAGTCTGAATTTTCAACTGTAGAGTTTTTTAATATCTTTGTCAGTAAAGAGCCATTTAGTAGGTGATTCAGTTTCTCAGATTCATTCAGGTTTTTGGATCTCTCAAGAATTCCACCAGTGTAATTTGTAAAGTGTCTTAGGTAAAACATCTTGTCTCATGATTTTGCATCTCTTATGTCATCTTCCTTTCTTTGATCAGAGGTGGTGCTTTGTGATTACTAAATCTTACAGTGC